TGTACGTATTATTTTCATACGTTGTTTCCATTTATTATCTCGGTATTTTTCCATAAAGTTTAAATGAAATTTTATTGAAAAATTATATTTGAAATAATGCAGCTGCGCGTTCTTTTTTCTTATAGTATTATTCGCTAATGGATCAGAGATAAATTTTTTGTTTGATGTTATATCGTGTATCTTGAAAAATAACGTTGAAAAATATTGAAACGTTAAATACTTTTTGCCGCGAGCGATGGAGATGGTGTAACGCAGTCGGACATGTTCAGATCGATTCGTTGTTAAATTCGTAGCGGTCGGAAATGAGCGCGCGACGGATGGCTCGTTTTCGATTAAAAGCCGTCCGCCGCGACTGAATGCGCGTATCCGAAATCAATAATTAATTTTGCCGGCTAGCCGAGAACGGGGCGAAATGGCTTGGCGGAAATGGTCGGATACCGCTTGGGTTGGATGCTGCGATGCTCCGATAAAACGTCCCTTTTTATCCCGTTCTCTCGGCTGCCAGATTATTGGATATTATTCCATTTCAAGCGTTCAATCCCGCTACGATTCGCTCGCTTGGATTCCCACGGGGGGTTTTTCCTGTCGCCTATTGATTGCACTGAACTCTTAAAATGTATATGTATATTTTTGTAACGCTGCTGAAATTGTACATTTTCGTCGTGCTATGCCTGGCATGCACAAGAATATTGCACGAATCAAATTGCATAAAAAAGCACGGTTCTTTTCATTGCCTTGAAGAATGCCTCGTGTAAGATGTGTATCTCTCTCGAATACGCTTAATAGCGGGGAAAGTCTAATATAACAATAATTGGTAGAAATTTTTATTACGATCTGAAAACGAGAGATTATAACAATATTAATACATTATTTAATATTTCAAGACGATATATTCACAATAATAGAAAAATGCTTTAAAAATAATCCCTTTCTCAACAATGTATAATCATAAAAAAAAAAAAAATACCGATAGGTTTTTGACCGTGTAACACAGTTTAATAATCAATTTCGCGAAAATTGTTTCGGCCGAAAAAGAATCCCAGAACAATACGCGCGCGAGACACGGCACGGTCGTGGATTATTGAGGGTAAATCGCTTGGCGGAAGCGATATGGGTTCGAGCAAGACTAAGGGACTAAGGCAAACGGAGTGAGGAAGAGAAATTGGTAGAAATTTTTATTACGATCTGAAAACGAGAGATTATAACAATATCAATACATTATTTAATATTTCAAGACGATATATTCACTATAATAGAAAAATGCTTTAAAAATAATCCCTTTCTCAACAATGTATAATCATAAAAAAAAAAAAAAAATACCGATAGGTTTTTGACCGTGTAACACAGTTTAATAATCAATTTCGCGAAAATTGTTTCGGCCGAAAAAGAATCCCAGAACAATACGCGCGCGAGACACGGCACGGTCGTGTATATATATACATATATAAACAATAGTTCACACACACACAACTGTCACCGCGTGGGAGATTACGAAACGATGATTATGCAGACTGATCCGGAAGTGAGATGCGCGTCACATATATTTCCGTTAAACGAACGAAATACGGAGGAGCGAGACTGTTAGAAGCAGTGCGCAACAAACTTTCTTCCTTATTATTACCAAAGAGCGCCGATAGAAAACCGGAAGTGCACATGGCATCTCGATGTAGGAGAAGGAGCCTGATACCTGTGTACACGCGGGGCTATAATTCACGCATCGCAGAATCGTCGTCATTTTTTTCACTTTCACGGAGAGCCGGTCGTTCGCCCAACACGCGGTCTCTCCTCCCGTTGCATCGCGGTGCTACACGCATACTTATACGTATATCCATGCACACATAATATACTAATGTCTAACAATGTTTGCAATCTTAGTTTGGCGATATTCAATGATAATAATAATAATAATAATATGTCTTTATTACATGCAAACTAATGTACAACAGACAGCGTACGGCAATAGTGTACTACTTATCGCATTTGCGATAAAAGGCAAATTTCAGATAACTATTTAGATATTATAGAATACAAAATATAACCATGCGACCAGATAAATCGTTAAGTCCAGTGGCATTTTATGATATCTTATTCATACATAATTTCATAGTCGATCACTGACTAATCCTATCGTTAGGTCGTTATGTTATATTCTAATAATGCGCTACCTAAGTACATTTGATATTAGAAATTGCATATAACGAGGGAACGGGAACGAATTTTACGACGATTTTTTGTAGTATTGCATCATTATCGATTTCTCTTTATGTTTGATAATACTATATGTAATTTGTCGTAATTTTTTGCCACGTGTAAATGGACGCGGAAGTGAGATTTTATTAGCGGTTGAACGAGCATCCAAGAAACGATGAAACGTTTAACGGATTTTTTTTTTTTTTTTTTTTTTTTAGGAAAGTCTAGCAGGATATGATCTAGAATGGAGACATTTTAATCTTTATTTCTATTTAATTGCGCGCGAGTTTCAATTATGCCGCGGCAGCGGGGAATGATAATATCAATAGGAAACTTGAGTAAAGCCAACTGTCCATCCTGTATAACGAAATAGGAAATTTGTTCGTTAATGTGACCGACCCAATTTCTCGTCAGAAATATTTTATGATTTATAATATTTGTGTTATGCCTACCCTCTCCCTGTATAGAGACAAATACTCGCGATCGAATTAAATGAGTTAAGGCAAATTTTATTTTTATACGGAATATTAATTTGAGGCTAATTGAGTAATTAGTTTAATATCGAATGTGAGAGAATTCGCTTATAAATTATAACGTTTCCGACGTTCGAATGTTTTGCAAGTCGTGAAAAAAATTCCGAATCAATTTTTCGATCGCAATAAAAATCGACTTGGTGAAAGGAGTGGCGATAGAAATCTTCGGGATATGCCTCGTAGATATCAGCGTTGAAATATGACGTTTACACGTGTGTACACGGCAGAAACGGGAGCCTCGATGGAGAAAGTAATGCTTTCCTGAACGCGCGACGCGTGTATCTTAATTGCGACCGGGAGGCACGAGAATTAAAATTCTCTCAAGAATCGAAAGTGCTCACGGAAGTCCATGTTGCTTCTGTCTCACCAGCAGGACACCCGACTTCCTTTTTATACGCGCGTGATTTTTGCGTTCTTGATGCCAGAAACGACGACGGAAACGATCTCTCGAGAAGCTAATATCAATAATATCGCGCTTTTACCGTGTTCGCTAGACCGGAAAGCGAATGCGGAAAGGATCGTTGTAATTTACATGCGAACTTTAATCGTATTTTTTGGACTTTGTGCGAATTTTTTTTTTTTTTTTTTTTTTCCGGATATCGCAACGCGTAAGAAATATTTTTTTTCTCGTCGATAGCGGAACAACGAATTTAGAAAAGTGAAAGTCTCTCGCATTTGTCTAACAGTCAACGAAATTCTCCCGAGAAAGTAAATCTTGACGTTGATTTATATCACGTTATAAGCGTAGCGTAACGTTTCGGTATATGAATTTACGCATTACACATTAATGTATCATTTCATCCAACTGCGTATTATCTCATTTTCTTTTTTTGTTGGATAAGAAAAACGATCTTGGGATCTTAGATCTGCAATCGGGATAAGGATTAAGAAAAGTAAGGTGTAATAGGGACAGAACATTTATTAAACCTTTTATATAAAAAGATACGTACTCTTTTCACAATACATTCTTTACTTAATTTACTTAGGTACAACATTTCTCAGTATGATAAACATACTTCACAGCAATACTATGCACGAACATAACGAACATTAAGCGAATAATGTTTGTTGAAGCTTACACGTACTTTCCTGTGACTTTTTAAAAATATATATGCAAAACGTTTGATTAGGCTTTTGAGAGAGAGAGAGAGAGAGAGAGATATGCGTCAATCTATTAATTGCCACGAAAAGTATCAATAGAATAATCGATTCACCCATATCATCAACAGCAGCCTAAAAATATTTCGACCGAAATAATTGCTACAATTATTCTGAAAATATAATATATACAAAAATACATCGGTAATCGTCAATCATAGGTATTGTTATAGCTATAGGTCGTCCGTTAATTGCGCGTAATTGTCATATTCCTCTCTGTACGACAATCTCGGAATAAGGATTTTTGCTTATGCGATTAAAATTTTGATCAATTGCCGAGATCTCCGCAAGAGTTTCTAAAACAATCCAGCGAAATGATATACCGATTCGAAGAAAAGCGGGCGATTACATCGAAAGACAAGATAAGAAGGCCTCTCGTGACGCTCGCTTCACGTCATCGTCGCGAAGATCAGCCGTGAAACGATTCGTAACCGCCACCCCCGTAACCACCGCCAGAGTGAGAGTCGAAACCGCCTCCGTCGCCTCCGTAACCACCGCCGTAACCACCGCCGTAATCACCGCCGTAACCGCCGCCGCCGCCGCCATAGTCCTCGTGCTTCGGTATGTGCACCGGAACGGCTACCGGAACTTTAACCGGTACCGGTATTTCCTTCTCGACCGGAACCGGCACCTGCTTCTCGACGATGTACGGTTTGTCTACTGGCACCTTGATCGGCACCGGAACCGGCTTCTCCACCGGCACTGGCACCGGCTTGTGCACGTGATAGGGTTGCGGCACCGGCACCTTTATCGGCACTGGATACGGTTTCGGCACCGGGACCGGATACGGCTTGTCAACAGGCACCTTCACTTCGTACGGTACCGGCTTCTCGACTGGCACCGGATACGGTTTCTCAACAGTGACCGGATATGGTTTTGGCACGTGGACCGGGTACGGTTTATCCACCGGTACCTTCACCTCGTAGGGCACCGGTTTCTCTACCGGGTACGGTTGTGGTACCGGAATCTTCACCTTCACCGGGAAGGGCACGTGCTTCTCGACCGTGTAGGGTTGCGGTACCGGCACCTTCACCGGCACCGGTATGTGCTTTTCCACAGTATAGGGCTGCGGCACGTATACCTTGACTTCGTAGGGCTTGTCCACGGGTACCTTCACCTCGTACGGCACCTTCTTTTCGACAGTATATGGCTGCGGCACATGTACTGGCACCTTGACGAACACCTTCACCGGGTAGGGCACGTGCTTTTCGACGGTGTAGGGCTGCGGCACGCCGACCTTCACCTCGTACGGCACGTGTTTCTCCACCAGGTAAGGCACGTGCTTTGTTACTTCGTACGGCACCGGCACTTTCTTTACAACCGTCACTGCCTTCACGTGCTCGTGCTGATCGTAGCCTCCACCGCCACCGCCACCGCCACCACCGCCTCCGCCACCATGCAGATCGCCACCGCCTAAGTCACCGTAACTGTGAACCAGCCCGCGTTTCTCCGTCTTCTTTTCCGTTGATTCCGCCTCGACGTTTTGCGACTTATTGTCACTCGCCTCGCTCGACTCCTTCGAGCATATAACTTGAGTGGCCACTGCCACCAAAATGATGGCAATCTGAAGTCACGCGTTAAAGATATATTTATGCATTAACAGTTAATACATGATAAAAATTAATATGCCTGCTTATCAAGTTGCTGAAAAATATTTTTAGATCTTGAACGCGTGAGATATTTCTTTCTATTTTTTTAATCGAGAATCTATTGATATCTTTTGGTAACTTGCGGACAAAAGAAATTTTATAGGAATATTATATATTAATTTCAAGTTGCAAGATATGTGATATCGATCCAAGATCTGATTTAATCTCAGCCACTTCTTTAACGATGCACTAACTTACCTTGATATTCATTTTCGAGTTCGCGTATGTTTTTAGCGTGGCGTATGACCACTAACTGAACCTCTGCGTTTTCTAGTCTGAGCCTTATATAGCCCGCGCTATAATAGCTTGGCACTTTCCCTGCACCTCATCGCTTATATTATCCGTATGGAGCCTTGCTTTACGTAGTAGTACAAAAAAAGTCGCCTGGGCGAGTTCAGGAAATAAACACGCGTGCGAATTCACTTCATGATAGCCTAAAGTTCAACAACACCGAATCTGAAAATATCTATCAACATGCGATTTGTATGACATGAAACTCACTTTCTCAATGCATGTGACAATCATATGCATAGGTAGCTTGCATATAATATATTATATCTTTCTCTTTTTATTTTATATTTTATTTTAAAAGAATTTTTTTCCTACATTTTTCCCAAGAGTTGTGGACAAACTTGAAAAAATTAATTTTTTCCCAAAACACACAACGTATATTTACACATACATTCAATGGATAGAAATAAATTTGATATATACGTGTGATATATGTATAAAATATTTAAGAAGCTACACGGAGAAAAAAATTCTTAATTTGACTAAATGCGTTTAATCAAATTAACAACTGTTTTTTCTCAGTGTAATGAAAAGACAATGCTAGAAATTCGTTACTATTATCTATAAGAACAGTTACAGATAATAGAACAGTTATCAGATATTCTTCTAAATAGAAACTTGTGAATATCTCTATCTCATACAGAAAATAAAATATATATCGAAATTCTGTATATTATATAAATACATTATAGTACGAATAACCAGGGCTACAAAGTAAATGGAGGAAGTTAATGTTCTTGGAGTTATGGTTGGCGAATGTGCAACACCGTGATTTCCGTCTCTCCTTGTTATAAAAGTTGCCATATGCGCAACGCTAAACCAACATTTTGTTTGTATCTGTAATGTGTTTTTTCTCGGTAAATCACCGGTAGAAAACTCGTAATGTTGAACGAGGAAGAATATCATGCAAATAGCTTCCGAATGTTACATTCAACGCGCATCAGTAAGTTCGATTAATCTCGCCGATTAGAGAAGCATTTACGTTATTTCATCGCGTCCCGTTAGAGGTAGATTTTACGCCTTGTCAATCATTCATATACGCGTTGTCTGGCATATCGAGTGTTACTTTAGCGTATCATAATTTTCTTAAGCCGAAAGAAGATGATATGTTTTTTCGATATTCTCCGTTTTGTATATTTATATTATATTTGCATCCAATATATTATATACCATCTTGCTCTACGTGTATTGTTTTTTGAGAGAGATGCCGTTATCGTTCAATGCCAGTTGTCCCAGGTGCAATCTGAGCTTTCGCGCTAACCGTATCGACGGTGCACCAGGACCTCTATTACGGGCGCGTGTAATTACTGTAGAAATCCAAGTAAAGCTGTGCGAACACACTGTAAGCGCGAGCTTTGCATGCGGAATACGTAATGCCGTATGTTAATACGGTACGGCTCGCATGCGCGCCGTACATTTCGATCGTCGATCAAGATATATCGCAATTTTTAAGGATTAATCGCCGCTCAAACAACCCCGAGGGTCATACTGACCCGTGGCGAACGCTTGTTATTCGTTCTGTATATATATTTAATAATACATAGATACGTCACCTCGCGTGTTCCATCCGATAAATATTACGGTAAAGATGACAAATATATCTCGCGCCCAAATGAGTTTGCTTAAACGGCCACCCTTAATGAATCGATTCACGCGCAATATCATTAATTAATCTTTACGTTAGTGGAAGATAGGGGATCGATTGTGAAGAAGCGAGTCGTGAGAAAAGTTTACAATTTTGCGATTGATATCGAGGCGAAGGAAACGTGTTATTTTGTTCTCGTGATCAATCGTAAGATTTGCTGGATAGGAAAATCAATTTATCGCGCGTGAGATATACCTCTTCCCGTAAAATACTCTTAAAAAGCTGCCAAGAATGTAACTCTAGACATAGATATAAAAGAGAATAAAGCTATCAAGTTATGCGCGTTGCCGGATATTACTTAGTCGTTTCACCGGCAATTACTTCATGCAGTCGCCATTTAGCAACTTTTATGCCAGCAACGTATGCGATATTGCTCACTTTCATGACTAATTATTGAAATCAATTATTATCTGAACACGAGAGTCTAAGATTCGTAATGAATGTAACGGTAATGAATTAATTTTGCAATTAATAGCTGAAATTAATACATATATTGTATCGAAGGATTTTTGAATTATTATAAATTTAGATTTATAATGCAAAAATACTGTGTGTGTAGGAATAAATGCTATGTTTGAGAATCGCGATTATAACTATATCTCATTAGAAGACAATCACTTCTCTCTCTCTCTCGCTCTCTCTCCTGTTCTTTCTGGACTATATGCAATAGTATAATATCTCGATAAGATCTACGGTAGTTTATTCGATAATAAGCTCGCACCCCCTCCTTTCCTCTCTTTTTCTCTCTTTCTCTCGTTCTTTTTCTCTCTTTCCCCTTTCTTTCTCTTTTTTAATTTTTTCCCCTTTCCCTTTTCCTCTTTTTACTTTCCTTTCTTTTCTTTCTCTATATCTTTCTCTTTCCTTCATCCAGATGAGTATAATCTATCGCTACTGGCGCGCAAATTACTCGGTAGCGATGGCCGCCGTCGGGCGTTTTTAATTGACGACGGACGAAATAAAGTATCATGCCGTGCATTATAATTGGAAACTTTTATGTTGCGTGCGCGGCTACGGCACGTCGGGCCTACCGAGGCGTGAATCCGAGCTTGCATTTTCGCTACAATCGACGCGTTCTCTTCTTCGTGTTATTTTTTTCCCTTTCACGGATTCCGACGCGTATGCCCTTCCAAAAAAATTAAAAAAAAATGCATGCGATTATCGCCATAAGATTGCATCACCGAGGATAAACACCAACAGTAAATTTGTGAGAAATCTCCTCCTTGCTCTCGTGAGAGCCAATCTGTCCTCTATCAGTATGGCTCCTTTCATTAATCTATCATTAACAAAACTATCTTCTTATGTCTTCAATATATTTCTTGAGACGTTTTTCTTTTCCGCGTATCAATAATATATGTACGCACGCAGACCCGCATTTATCCTCTCATCCATATTAATCGTAACGCGTCTAACGAGGCGTTTGATGGAAAAGTGAAAGGAGACACGCGGCGCGCGACTTTCCCCGAAATCTTACAGCACGCTGAACGGGAATGTTTAACGGGAGCGACTCAGGCGATTGGTACGCTTAATGTTTCACCGACACAAATTCCCATGAATTTGGTAGGAAGCGGCGTACGACATGATTCACACGCATAATATCGTGGCGTTTCATGGGCCGCGATTAATCATCTTTTTTGGTGTTGGTTATTTACGGACGGCGCCCCGGAATTTCTGCTCGGAAGCTATGCGCCAGAGAAAGAATAATGATACTTTGGCCTCCGTCGTAAAGCGGACTCCGTGGGATTTAATCACTTTATTATAATTTCTAGTGATAAAGAAATGAGAGAGAGAAAGAGAGAGAGAGAGAGAGAGAGAGAGAGAGAGAGAGAGAAAATGTCATGCAAATGAAAAATATTTAATTTACGAAATCTATTCAGTTTCTTTCAGTACATTTTCAGGGAATTTTTTTACAAGATTCGAATAGACATTTTGTATACATGTATATCCGGTGGGAATTTCATGCGCTGATAAAAGCGGAATATAATTCCTATCCTCGACACGCGGCGGGGATAACGCGACTATAATCGCACGAGCATTAAGAATCGTGATGCTGAAGCGAGTGAATCTCGCTTCGCGGAGACCGGTTCGCTTACGATAATCATTATTCTTCTCGCACCGCGCAAAACAAACGTTTCATTTCGAACGGTAATCGACGATGGGACGACCGGTCGTTACGGTTACGTTACAAATGTAATCGTTCGCGTTATCGTTATCGAACGCGGACGCGAAAGTAAAAGTAACGATGATCGCGATTGGCGATTAAATGTCTCGTGGTTGTCAAATTCGGGGAAAATCGAATGGTGCGAGGCCACCTCCGCGGGAAAAGCGTGCCGCGTTTACGGACAGAGTTGCCGTTAAGTAAGAGGGGCGAAAGGTGAGCGCACCTGCGAGATCTTCCGAGAAGACTTTTCGGTCGACAACTAACGCGTTACTGATGAGGAGGCCGATGCGAGGATGCCCGTTCCTCCTGCGAACACCTCGCCGCAGAAGGAAGGAACGAGCGAGCGGCGGCAGGAGATTATGTAACTTTAATTGCGTTCTAACTACCGTGCAATTGGACGATGGCGGGCCGTGCAACCTGCAGTTTCGGCTGTATCCCATTAAGACGTTGCCTCGGCTAATGCGACGACCGAGTGACTTTTGCGAGCGCAAATCCGCTCTTTTTTTTCCTCTTTTCTTTTTTTTTTTTCTCTCCGAGACGCGCAATTTATGACCCCGAGAACCGGCAGGAGAGGCCAATCCCCACGGTAATCCTACAGCATCCGGTAAAACCGACTTTACGCACATAAACCGGGTATTATTGCATAACGGCTTGTTTTCTTTTCTTTTTATAACGCAGCAACTAATTTTGCGACACTAATTTCACATTGGGATTATCTTACGGAATTATCGCGATTTCTCTATCGCGTAAAACATTGATGAATATCACATTCGGAAATGTAATGCGTTTGATCGAAGAAAGCTGATCGTATATTATAAATACGAATCTTTCTCTCTCTCTCTCTCTCTCTCTCTCTCTCTCTCTCGCTGATATTCCTCGAGTGTACGGCAACAGCTCGAATTGCGTTCCTTCGACAAGATAGTCACGGAGATTTCACTTTGGTGATTTCACATATGTACGAGCGCATTCGCCTCGCCGATCTTTCTTTTTCTCTTCTTCTTTCCTCGCGCCTAGATGAAAGTGCACGTGCAACTCAAATCGCGTTGAAATCACATCGATTCGCGACGACACGGTTTGGTCCCCGATTGCCATGACAGATGGAGATGATGACGGAAAATCGTTGTCGCACATATATGATTAATAGCTCGCGCCTACGACACATGCTC